ATTGCAAGACTAAACGATGACCGATGGACGAAGAAAATAATAGAATAACCAAGACATGATGCATTCAGGAGCAGAGGCCGTCCTCCAACCAGGTGGCATAACGACTAAAAGCGTATCCATAGTAACTGGATGCAAATAGCTCAAGATAGGGAGTTATGGAAACAAACCAGGTTAGTTCTCCATCTCCGATATCAGCCATACCCCTAGATCATATATACTTACGTCATACCAAAGTATATGACACGAATGGTTAGGTTAGGTTAGGATCCTCACAGAATATGTATTCACCGTTGTTTATTAACTTCAATCTACTGAGGTATTCATCAGATAATGTTCTGTTAAAAACCCAGTGACGACAATCCCAAGATTGTTCTTACTTAATCATGAAGCAGTTTTAACTGAATTTTCGATGGAGTTCAAAATCAAAAATACCCCTCGTAAATTATGCCGTATTTTTTCAGAAAAGAATGCTCAAAAGTTCAGCCACTTATGTAAAACAACCAACTGGGATACTAGCTCTTATGATGTCGACACCGAATATTCTATTTTCGTAAAAACATTAACCAGTCTAGCGTTCAAATCCTTTCCTCTTAGGCCTATAAAAAATAAGCTAATAAACCTTGGACCACTAAAGGTCTACGCATATCTTCTAAAAACATGCGTTCATTATCTCACTTAAAAAAATTCTCAGACAGTCTCTTCTTCCACAATTACGTAAAACTATACAGAAAAATTTATCATAAGACTATAAGAGCCGCTAAGGACCTTTATTATAATAGGAGAATAGTCAATTCTGGTAATGTTGCTAAAGAAACATGGTCTATTGTGAATGAGTTGAGAAACAAAGTTTTTTTTTTCTTCGTCTAGCAATATCTCTACCTCACCTGAGAACCTTAACGATTACTTTGTAAATGTAGCGAAAAACTAATACCATATGTCCTCCTCATGATCCACTTTCTTATCTCTCTAATGATATTGTAAACTTACACAGTTTCTTTTTTTCGCCCGTAGTTTTAGAAGAGCTGCGCAGTACAATTAATACCATCAAAAATAAATCCTCTTCTGGGACCGACGGGCTAACTTTAAAAATGTTTTCGAATCTGCCAGAAAGCACCCTGAATCACCTAACAACTTTAATAAACATGTCGTTCCAAAATGGTATTTTTCCAAAATATCTTAAGACGGCAATAATCATTCCTCTGCATAAAGGAGGAGACAAAGATGAAGCTTCTAACTATCGCCCAATTGCACTCCTTCCAACGCTATCTAAGATCATAGAAAGGTTGGTTAAAAGAAGGCTGGTATCTTTTCTGTTTAAGAACAAAATACTTACTGAATATCAATTTGGATTTCTAAGCAACAAGTCCACAAATGACGCTATGTTTTCCCTCCTTAATAAAGTTAAGGAGGCCTAAACAACCATCATTCTACAGCAACAATTTTCTGTGATTTTTATAAGGCGTTCGATTCTGTAAATCATAAGATCTTAATTAATAAACTGCAGCACTATGGGTTCAGGGGATCATCTCTCGAATGGTTTAAGTCGTATCTGAGCAACAGAAGTCAATTTGTGAGGGTGGATACCACGTTGTCTTCTAGCAAGCCAATAGAATGTGGATTACCACAAGGCTCAGTACTAGGCCCTATTTTGTTTCTTCTTTTTTATTAACGACATTGCTAACATAAACATCAGTGGCAAAATATGTCTTTTGCGGACGACACTAGCTTCACTTGGAGCAACAAGGACATCACGGCACTTCATAGGATTGTATCAAATGACTTAATCACCATTAAATCTTGGTGCGATTCGAACCTCCTGAGTCTCAACCTTTCTAAAACTAAAAAGCTTTGTCGTATAAAACTCGTTGCAGCCTTTTGTACTTAACAACACCACCATTGACGTCGTCAAATCTGTAAAATTCTTAGGGCTTGTTGTGGACAATTCTCTGAAATGGGACATACATATCGAAGCTTTGTCGAAAAAATTGAGCTCTGCCTGTTTTGCATTAAGATCTGTTTCTAAGGAGCTTAACTTGTCAGTGGCTAGAACTGTTTATTATGCACTTTTTGAGTCGCACCTCAGGTATGCCCTTCCATTCTGGGGTACGTGTTGTGCGACTCAATTTGACCGCATTTTCAGGCTCCAGAAGAGTACTGTTCGATATTCACTGGGACTAAACAGCAGAACTCATTGCCGGGACTTTTTTAAAAATTAAAAATATTGACTCTTCCTTCCTTATTTATATTTGAATCCGTTTGCCTAATACGTAAACATGTATCAGCTTCTCAAGAAAGGCCATCTCACACTTATCCACTCAGGAACGCGGAGCAAGATCTTTATCTACCTACCCACGCTCAGAGTTAGTTAAAAGTTCAATATTATACAACTCGAAAAAAAATGCAACAATCACCTGCCATTTTGAAATCAAATCCATAACATCATTTTTTTTTTCATTTCGCAAAAGCATTGAACTCTTATTTACTAGACAAGGCTTTCTACGCCGTAAATAAATTATATTTTGAAAATCAAATTTGATCTTGTAAACACTGGTCTAATGTTTGCTATTGCTATATTTACTAATGACATCGAAATGAATTTATTTAGAGGTCATTGATATTTTACTATAAACTATAGCTAAATATTTTTGAATATTATTTTTATTTTTTTGTTCTTTGACATTATAAACATTTATAAATGTTTATTTTAACAATAAGACTGACAATATTATTTGTATAATGTTTTGTATTATCTTTTGTTTGTTTGTTTGTGTAGCTTGTTTTTTTACTTTGTTTGTTAGTTTACCTTTGTCTACAAATTGAAAAATTTTTTGACAATAAAGGCATTTATTTATTTAAATCAAGGAAAATCTCTGATTTTTCTCGGTCGTCAATTCTGAGAAATAAAGGTAAAAAATAAACGTAACAATTTGCAGTAGATCTGTACGAAATATTTAATAAAGCAATCAATTTCACTAAAAGTTCCGCTGCTCTAAATTGCTCTAAATTTCTCAACTTTACAGGTTAAATATTTCTCTTGTTATCTCTCTGAAACATTATTCGCTCTTCGCATCGCGCGCTTGGTAATTTACACTTTTGATAAATTATATTGTAGCGACGTTACTGATCCCAGTTGAATACGTGGCTCTCAATAAAGCTTTTATTTTTATCTGCAGTATATATTGTCGAAGTCCCGATTACAATTTGGACCACCCTGTAAAGAGTATAGTCTATTTAATAGTATTAAAATATTAGAATGAAAAAACTTAAGAAGCACACTTAAAAGTATTAACCAACTGAATTTACACCACTACACCAAAGCTTTTTGTTAGTTCTATTGTTAAATTGGTTAGTTTTTATTCAGCACCATCTAACTACATCGTTGTGACACAACTATCACAACATTAAATCAACACAACTTTTTTACATTTTACTAATAGTCTGGGCTTTAAAAAAATCTAAACATTACTATTTTAAATATACAGAATAACCTAATATTTCGTGTTCATAGCCTACGTATTTTTGGAATTAAAAGTTAAGTGAACACATCTTAGTCTGTCCGTTAGATGGTATCAAATATTAACAACACAATCTTTAATTATTTTTTTGTAAAAGTCAAATGTTAAAGCACCTAGCAAAACAAAAATACCCCAAATATCATTCAAATCGGATTATGGGTTCTTAAAATATCTAAAAAAGGTGTTTTATTTTACTTTAACTCTGACGTGTGAAGCAGTTTTGTATAGAGACAAATTATGTTCAATTTACTTATTTTTTAAATTCCAAAAATATTATAAAAATTTTTTTAGAATGCCCTGTATTTGGATATCAATTTAATCTCTCTTATATAGAGGGTGAGTCTTAAATAAGTGCAAATACTTTTAGGGGTAGTATATTTCGATCCCAGAAACACGTCTATGAGGTTTTTAGCGGAAAAAAATTGAAAATTAGGAATTTTTTGAAAAAACATTTGGAAGTTTTTTTAATTTTTAGTTAAAAACAGAAAATCATAATATGGCTACATAGGTAGTAGATTAAATTTACAAGAAAGAAAACCCAGAAGATCCAGTGGTTCTCAAAATTTAAGCGAAATATTTTTTTAAATTTCAAAGTAAAATATCTTGGTTATTTTGGACTTATTTGAAAAAAACGGCAAAGAGAAAATATGTTCCTTTTATCGAGATCTACCAGCCCTGAAAATATTTGCACTTATTTAAGACTTACCATGTATAAAAAATAGACGTGTCTTATGCTCCACAATTTTCTGATTTATGAGGCTCCTATCATTGTTGAATTTGAAAAAATCCGAATCAAAGTCATAATATTAAATATTTAAGTTTTTTTTAATTTGCTGTTTTTTTAATAAAACTATTCTAATAGATTCGTTTGGTATTTTGTTATTCGGATGATTTTTTTTTATTAATACATACCAACATTAATAACTTAGTATGTAAGAAATATGTTCAAGATAGGTGAAGATAAAATTCTATAGTTATTGTATAACATACGATCGAAAAAAAAACGGCGGCAAAGACGGCTGGGGAACGACAATCGATGATAATTTTGACGAGGCCAATCCCTAGACGTCATTTACTTAGCCCGTATTCTTCTTTATTCTCTAATGGCGCTTACTGCCAGTTGGCCTTTGTTGCAATTTATTTTTATATTGAGTAAAATTGATTTTTAATTATCTTTCTATAATTAGTGTTAATCTTTGACAAGCTTTATGTCAATTCTTAATGAAATCTACAGATTGACCTGGCCAAAGTTATCATCGATTGTCATTTTCCTCTTTAACGCCGTTTGTTTTCGATCATACGGTATTAATCTAATTTAAAAAAAAACTTATAGGTTTTTGATAATATCCATTATCAGATTTCTAAAAATATCTAAACTAGAAAATCTACACCATTTAATACAGCATTTATAAATATTCACAAAGCAAAATTACCATAAAAAAGTATTGATTTAATGTTGTGCTTTCGAATCTCTTGCGGACTTACAGAGCCAAAATCGTTTGCTACGGGCCAGAGGAATGTGGTCAAAGATTTGACGAGGGAATCGAATAAGCCATGGTGTCGCTGAAAAGTGTCAAGGAAAAACAATTGTCGTTAAAGAGAACACACAAATAATACACAAACATGTGATAGGTATTAGTACACGTTAACAGGAAAAAAATGTTAGATACTGACATATACATACACTTACGTAAAATCAAAAAAGAAACAAATTTTTCAAAATTTGACCAATTAATTAATTCTTCTAGTCATTTATTACTTTAAATGTCATATTTGACAGATTATTTTTTAATATGTACAATATGTGTTAATTAAAATTATATAAGGATTCTTGCCACTTAATTGCTGATATAGAAATTTAATTCCACGCTGTGTTTGTCATAATGTGGATCAACCTGCTCTCACTACCGGTTTCGGAGCCCTACTCCATCATCAGGTGAGCTTGGGCCGATACCACAAAATGACAACCACAGCGCAGAGTAGTTAATTCCGACTTGTCGGAAAGTATCGGTTAGAGATATTAAGTCCCGAGAGAACGGGAGATAGCGGTCTGCGTGCAATGGTAGTGCTTTCGTACCACCGACTTAATATCTAACCGATACTTTCCGACAAGTCGGAATTAACTACTCTGCGCTGTGGTTGTCATTTTGTGGTATCTGCCCAAGCTCATCTGATGATGGAGCACCGGCTTCGAAACCGGTAGTGAGAGCAGGTTGATCCACATTATGACAAACACAGCGTGGAATTAAATTTCTATATCAGCAGTTAAGTGGCAAGAATCCTTATATAATTTTATTATACAGGGTGCTACAAATTCGAGGTACGAGCATTGGTATCTCGGAAACCGTAATAGATACGAAGATGATTAAATTGGGACAAAGTTACTCCTTGAGATGTTCACCAAGATGCTATCAAAAAAGTTTTAAAAATTTCAAGGGTTGACATAAAAAATATAAACTGTGGCATATCATTGTACTCAGGAAACCGAGTTATTTCAAAACCCCAAAAAAAAGCAGGTCCGTATTTAAAAAAATCAAGTTGAGCTCTGTATCTCACAAATTATCAGCTAATTTGAAAACCTAAAAATACTATCAGATAGCCCTAATAAAGTGGCTATGAGAATGTGCAATTAGTTTTTCAATTTTCTAAAAAGTAACGACAGGAAAAAATTAAATTGATTTTCAAAAAAATCGCTTTTTCTGAAATAGCTCAGTAATAAGTGAAATTTTTGAAATTTCTTTGATAGCATGTTGGTGAACATCCCAAGGAGCAACTTTGTCCCAATTTAACCATCTTCGTATCTATTACGGTTTCCGAGATACGAATGCTCGTACCTCGAATTTGTAGCACCCTGTATACCTATACTGCAAGAAATTTGTTTTTCATATGTGTTAAAGTTAAATTAAGATTTGACATAAACTGTGATACATACAGAACATATTCAAGGAAGTGTCGATCCTAACAGGCCATGTTATGTGACAAATATATCATTAAACTTCATTCAAAACCTCAAAATTGGTGGAATAAATTAGTGGTTTCAATTAGCCTAAAAGTTTGTTCATCTAATTTCAATATTAGTATTCAGAATGTCAAAATTAGTAGAAAAAGTTACCAAACTATGTTTTATAACTAATTTGTCCTTTACTTTTCATCAATCAAAAGAAACTGTTTTTAGAAATTAAAAGGTTATTTTTTTATAAGCTTATTATTAGGCTTTCTCTATGGATAAAACTCACTACCGCAAGCTGTTGCTAGGTTATTCTATTAACGTTAATCGTATTTTTTAGACATTGTGAATGATCGCAAATTTTTAAATATAAAGTGTAATTGAAACCACGAATTTCGAGGTTCTGAATGAGACTATATTCAGAAACACTCTGTATTTTAATATGCAATTTTTAATTTAATTCAATACAAAAAAAATGTCAAAGTCAAATTTAAATTTGTGATACACACAGAAAATAATTTAAGAAAGTGGCAATCATAACCAACCATGTTATGAAAAACTTCAAAATATCTTTTTATATTTCTTCGATTGTTTATTATAATGTCATTGTATTTAGTTAGAAAATGTGTCGTAATATTAATTTTAAATAAAGTTTCATTTGCAATAAAGATATATAAGTTAGCTCATGAATATTATAGGCCAAGGAAACGTTTATATTCAACTGAAATTAAATGAAAAGTATACGAAGTAGGATTTCTATTATTATCCAACATATAAACGTATAATTGAAAAATGTCGTGAACAAAACAACTTATATTCTTAGAAAAATATTGATTAAACATTCAGTTTAGTTTATAACGAGGTTTATAATAGGTTCAGAAGTATAATAAAGTATATAAGTTGAACTCGTAATAACCGTTATTTAATTTTGGTTCGATATAACTAACTTTCAAATTTCACTTGCTCACCGAAGGTTCGGCACATATTTGTAGGTAATAATAAAAAACTAATAACTAAAATTAATTAATAAAAATAACTAAAAATCTGTTTAAGCTTTTACCAATGAAGACTTTTCATACAATGACACGTTTAATTCAATTCAAAATTTACGTAAATTTACACGTATAAGACGATTTTTTACACGTAAAAAACAAGTTTTTACATATATAAAAGACTTAAAAAACTATATTTATACGCTTAAAAACTATTTTCTACAATTTTAAAACTAACAATTGAATTTTCCAAATGGCCGAACGAAAATATCATATTTCATTTGAAAATGTCCTTAGAGCTCCACTCGAATACCTTGCGACTGAACTGAATCGGCAATATTCTACGTGATTTGAATTTAGTTGACAGCTGCAATTCAAGTAAAAGAAATCGGCGCACTCTTGTTAGCAGCTATGTAAAAGAGATTAGGGAGACAAAATATATCTCCCGGCTGGTACATCGTCGTTGGAAACAGCAAATTGCACGCAAATTTTGAACGGTCCAAATATCGGATCTCTGGTTAATTTGGTTTTGAAAGTCTGTATCTATTTTTAAATTAAAATTGAACAAGTAATAAGCACAACAAGATAAAAGCCAACATACTCATAGACAAAGGAAATAAATTTAGATTGGAATGCTCGGCTTCCTGCTAAAACATATAATTGTTTTGGGTCGCAAACGTTGTACGGGATCTGGCGCTGCTATAGCGGTTGCTAAGAACAACCGCAAACATGAACTGAAAGAATTTTCTCTTGTCAAAGTCAGAATCTTCAAAAATTATAAAATCTTTTAAAATTCAAACCGCTCTAATCGGAAAATTACCGAAAAGTGTTTAAAGCGTCCATTTTCAATGTAATAATTGCTTAATTTTGTAAGTCTAATTTAAATTTTATTTACTCAAACCCGTGATAATTGTGAAAAAGTGGCATTAAAAACTTAAAAAGCTGTGTGAACTGTGAACTTCGAAAATCATCGTGGATCTTGGCATAACGTCGGTTTCCAATGTTTCATAGGTATTTCATACATGTCCTTATATGAAATAAAGTGTCTTGTATGCAACACACTGTGTTTTATTTATAAAATTAAAAGAAAATATTAATAACTTTGAATAAACAATATATTTGGCAACATAATTCCGAAAAAAGCCGAACCGCTCCGAAATTATCAAAAGCTTTGGGTCGCGACCGTTGCAAGATTAGCGCCAAATAATATTTACATTCCTTATGGGCATTTTGCAATCTAAAATTATTTCATTTACCTATGGATGCACCACCCGGTATAACAAAATCAAAACTTATAAATTTGATTAAGAAACCCCCAAAATAATAATAAAAATAGAAAACAAGCTTTCTATATACATTTTCCAAAAATTATGTCTCTCAGTCAAGTCTTATTTATTAGAAATAGTAGATAGTTTTCTTAAATATATCATATAACGCATGATAAATTTTGGATCTTAGCTTTATTGCCTGTGACTTCTACAGAATAAAAATAAATCACATTTATATTTTCGCAAACACTTTTCTGTTTTCATTTTGGGCCAAACTATCCCATTTTCAGTGATATATGACTGTAATAACTTTAAAAGACATAAATCGAACTCGTTACTTGTTTCCTACATAGAAACTTCCGTTGTAAGGAAATAAATAAAATTTATTAAATATTCTCCGATAGACAACACATTCTGTTTTGTTTTCCATAATAGCGAGACTTATGAAAAGAAGATGTGAATAAATTGATAAGTATTTTAAAATAACGACATTTTTTGCTTTTATTTCTTTGGTAACAAGATTTGGTAAGTTAGTATATGACATAGATTAGGATTGATTGACGTATTCAATTGTTTTCGGTCACTTCTTGTTTCACCGGAAATGAACAATTTTTGATTTTTTTTTTCGTTACTCAATTGATTTCGGTATTTTTTAGTTTTAACTTGTGATATATTCGTTTTAAAAAACATCGTATTTTAAATTTCAATCTAGAGTGATTAGAGATTGTGATAAAAATACTATTTTTTAATTAAGGAGCCTTGGAAAAATAGATTTGAATGTCTAATGTTTTTAGTATCTTGTCCCGGCCGGTTAAAAGATGCAGAACTCCTATTTTTAATCATATCTAATTTCTTTCAAATGGAACGAGGGTGGCTCATTAGCATATTTGGAAAAGTATTTTTTTACGAATTATTTGGTACCACATACTTGGTATTTCGAGTCAAATTGTCGTTATGAACCGCGTGTTACAGTTTCAAATAAACCAAATGCGATAATGTCAAAAGTTGACATTTGATGTGTCATTCTGTTCAGGGTGTCATTTTCCTATCGAATAAAGAAAAAAATACTAAGGGTGCCATTTAAAAATCAAAAGTTGTAGTCAATTCCGGTGAAACAGAAAGTTACAGAAAACAATTGAATACATCAATCAATCTTAATTTATGTCATATACTACCATACCAAATATCGTTTTTTATCTGAAAAAATAAAAAAGTTATAGGGGGTGAGCCACTTTTGAGATGTACCCCGTATAGAATCCCACCTGGCTGTCAGCTCCATCTACGGTTACATAGGTGAAGATGGCTTGAATGTATTTATTATCAATTATTTTAATCATTGTGGCTATATACAGGGTG